TCCACACTCTGTAGAGCACAGTACCCTTCCATATCATCATTTAAATTATTAGGTACTATGTGAATTTGATCTAGTTCCATGCCAGCAGGAACTTCATCAAATATAAATCCTCTTCCATCCGTCCATTTGTGAACATCTTTTCGACTACCTTGTCGTTTTGCTTCTTCAGCAAATGTATACGGTAATATAGCAAAGACATCTAAGTAATCGAAATCCCATTGTCTTGGATGATTGTCAGTATGTCCTTGTTGAATAAATTGTCCTCCATGGGATCCATTGTTGGAACGTCCATAGTTCCATTGAGTGTTTGAATCTGCCGATTCATTATCATCACGCGTTGCATTTTCATCACGTTGCATATTCTGTCGATTACCACGACCATTTGTGTCCAAATAATCCCTATATTTGTCCGGTTTTTTCCGCTTTTCCCGCAGCTTCAATTTGTCCGCACATTGAGGTGCGACATGATCTTTCGATTTGCATACAAAACACGCTCAAGTTCATTTTGATTGTTGTTTGACTTGTTTTGTTTCCCTTGTCCATTCGAATTTCCTCCATTCAAATTCTCCTTCCTGTTATCGTGCTTGTGTTGATTCAAAACATCAGCAGCATTTTCCAAAGTAGTTGGAAATGTACAACCGTTGTTTGAAATCCAGATGCTTCAATGTGTACTGCGCTGTCATTCCATCAGTTCTTGATTGATACTTGGCTCTATTGGAATTATACAGAAATCCGTTGGCCATGAATCTTTCCCATGATTCCTTCTTGTGTTGGGATCGTTCAGCATCGCTTCCCAATAAATCATATTCCTGACTCTTCTCAGTAAATTTGTCCAAAAAATCTTCACCAAGCAAAGCTTGCAATGCCTTCGCCCTTTCTTCAAATCGTTTACGAAAACTCGCAATGTTTTCCTTCTCCTTTTGATGGCAATTAATCAGATTGCTCATTGTCTTCCACAGACCAAAATATTCCCATTCTGTATCAACAGTAGTCGTCATAAATTTCTTGATCCGCATCAATAGTTCCACAGGATCATTGAACAGTTTGTTATCAAAGTCAGCTTCTCTCAAGCTTGTCCACCATATGATCGGTGCACATCTTCATAATCATTCCATAGACATTGTGTTTATTGTTATCAAACGCGTTCTTCCTGGCCTTCCAATCCTTTTGATCAGCCAAATAGTTAGTTCTTCTTTCTTCATTCTTGATCTCCTTATCAGCATCGTTCTCATCAGTTATCAATACCAATGTTGGTTTCACACTTTCAATATCGAACAACTTCAAGGTTCGTACACTCTGAATCATGTCATCAATATGATCTATCTTCATCGTTGACATTTTAATCACCAATGTCTTCTTCACTTCATCAAAGCTAAATTCGAGAATGTTTCCTCTAGTCAGAGGATGAAACTTCTTCTCTTTCTGGCTACCATTGCCACTCTTATTTCCATTGTATTGACCATTACCTCGGCCTTGCTGCGATCTTCCTCGTCCAGCATTTCTTCCATTGGAACCACATCCAGTATTTTGAAAATCGTCCACTCATCATGAGCAAGTTCCTATTCTTTCAAGTCGTAGGAATATATCGACTCCCAATTCAATTCAGTGACTTTTTATAATATATGTTAGAAGTAAGCGATCCACTGCCGCCTGCAATCTACCTGTTCAATTGACTGCGATTTAGCTGTCCAGGTATTGTTGCCTTCTAAGTATATGAATTTACAGTATATAGAAGTATATAGATCTATCAGAGATCCTACTTTATCAACCAATTCACTTGTTGCTTGCAATATATTATAAAAAGTGAGAACAGTCTGTAAACTTTGACTTTGACTCTCTCTTCTACAGCTCAGTGGAAATTCTCAGAATTCTCTCTACGTCAGCCTGACATGCTGCAAGTTCAATCTGTTTATCCGTTCATCTTCCACTGTAGTCGGTACTTTGATTGTATCCAACTTTGGTTCTTGCTTGAATTTTGCTTTCTTACATCATCAACATGATGATTTCCATAGAAATAAATTGTCTTTTCTGACTGGCCACACACGATATTTTTAGTCGTATCAGTCTTCATTTTTAGTCGTATCAGTTGACATCATTTCTCTCTCGTTCACATGTATTCTCTTTTTCTCGTTTCTCCACATATGTACTTCAAAAATCCTAATATATCCAACAACTGTCCCTTATTCTATGAATGCTAATGGTGAGATTGCGTTCAGTGGAATGCAACTCAGCCGACAAGGCTTCAGTGGTGCTCAAGTGCGCCAAGGATTTGATGCCCAGACAGACTGCTACCAAAGACCCAATGGAAGAATGAAGATCAATATGTTGACTATGGGAAGAAGCTCAATCTTAATCAGATTGGAGCAACTGTCCCAGCTACTATTCCAGCTATAGTTCCTGGAGCTTCAGCGTCCACAAGTGGAGCATCAAGTGTTGCGGGAAGCGTTAACACACCTTTGCGACTTGCTGGTACTACAGGTAATCAAATGATGCAAGTTCCTTCTGGAATGCAGCTCATGCAGATTCCAACTCAAGGTGGCGGCACTGTTACTGTCCCTTATTCTATGAATGCTAACGGTGAGATTGTGTTCAGTGGAATGCAACTCAGCCAACAAGGCTTCAGTGGTGCTCAAGTGCGCCAAGGATTTGATGCAACTCAAGCTCAAACTCCGCAGGTTGTGAAGACTGGCTATTACGATACGTCAAATGTCTTCCACAATGCTATCAAGGGAAAGGATGAGAATGGCAATGATGTCTATCTTATTCCATGTCCTGCTGGTACGACAAATGTCAAACTTCAAGCCGACTGGCACTATGCTAGTGAAGATTTGCTACTGAAGCAGATCAAGGTCTGCAGTTTATTCAAAGCCGCAGAAAGGAAAGAGATCCATTTGGGTTGTACGATCATGTCATCATGGACAGTGGTTGCACAAACACCACCATTTGTAATGGTGAGCTGATGCATGGACTCCGTCATGCTGAGAAGGAACTTGACATGCACACTAACATGGGCAGCAGAGTTCTCGACGAAGAAGGTTTTCTAGGACGATTTCCACCTCCAGTTTATCACGATGAAGATGGAATTGCCAATGTACTTGCTATGCGCGAGATGATTGCTGCGGGATACCGCATTACTATGGATACTGATGCTGACAAAGCTTTTATTGTGCATTGTGATGGAAACAGGAAGATGCGATTTGTGAATCGTAAGGGTGTGTATGTGTTGGAGCAACTTGGAGCAAATGCCGAACCAGGTGCCAAAGAGACAAGTGCGATGTACCGTCACCAGTTAAGCAACTTAAATAATCAACCCCATTTCGAACTTTCTTCAAACAAACAGAATGGATATGCTGGACTCAAGATGACCTCCAAGATGGCAACCGTTCAAAAGAACAAAGAAGGATTCACTCCAAGACAAGTCAAGGCTGCGATGGAAGCGAGAAGTGCAATGCACATACTCAATGCTCCAAGCACCAAAAGTCTGAAGTATGCGATCCGATCTGGTCTCATCAAGAACTGTCCTATCACCGAAGAAGCGATCAATCATGCCGAAGCAATCTAGCCAGGTATCAGAGGCAAGAATGGATGTATTCTGGTAATCTTGCTGTAGAAGACCAAAGGAGGTACCGGTTTCCAGTTGGTGAGCCTGGAGACTGGCGTCCATGTAGGCTCCAGTCTTTGTACCCCCCGACATATGGCGCAGAATCATCTCCAAGTGTTTGTACACTTGCTTGCCAAAGGGGTGAGGAACACAAAGGCCTTGATAATCCACTGGGACAAAGACCACCAAACGGGGAAAGTTGCGGCAAACACCTGACTTAGGTAAGCACACCTGGAGAACCGGTGACATAATGGCCTGCCATTGTTGAGCGTCAAGTGTAGTGAGTGCCATAGGATACTCAAGCTTCTTCATGATTGTGGTCTGGATCAGTGAGAACACGTCGTACTTGTGCAGCAGGCGAGGACAAAGCTGTTCTGCCCACTCTTGAGCTTTAGAGACCAACTATGCCTCCTGTGCCTTGTGATTTTCCAGTGGCGACAGCATCACCCCTAGAGTACGTTCGGAATCATCTGGTTCAAGGCAACAAAGGGGTTCAATGTCCCCGTATAACCCTGGTATCTTTAGGTCAAATTCCGGTGCCGCGGAGCCTTTCCTACAGAATCTCCACTGATCATTGCAAGCATCCCATTCAAAGTCGATAAGCCACCAGAAGGACTTCTCCGGATTGATTGCACCACCTGTTGCCCAAATTTCCCCCGGCCACAAGGTGGCAGCAGCCTGAACTGAGGCGCAAATATCCTCCCCAGAGTGATGATTCGTGCCACCTGCTTCAATTACATCCGTATTGTCAACAAAACAGAAACATTGGGCTGTCACTAGTTGTGACTCTAACGCCGAAAGACACTCAAATCCATAGCCCATTGCTTCCATCATTGTGATTAACACCAAGCTCACTGAGATCCAAATGGGGGGTCCAGCACCATTCCCTTGCCCACAACCTTGGAATGGCACCGCTGATGGAGGGCGAAAGCTTCTCTTGGAGTCACCAAAACCTGTGCAAACACGGTGGGTAGTGGAGGAGAGCATGTTGAACATCGATGATAGGACACGCCATGTCAAGCCAAACCGCAACATTGTGACAATGGCCACCCAGTGGACAACACGGTCAAAGCAGGACTTTGCATTGTTCAAGATCCACCCCGCTGCGCGGCGTTGAAGGATCAGTAGATCCCACACTAATGGTTTAGACAAGGCCAGGTCAATTGCTTGATGACGTTTGCGTGAGCCGCATTGCCCGTCGGATATCAAGGAGTGCGCTTTGGCAAATTGCATGGCTGTACGGCCCGCCTTCTTATTGTTTGCCTGGGCCTTGGAATTCATCAGCTGGATGGTGCGCATTTTAAATAGGCGGAAGTCTCCCGGCTTCTTTTCAATGGCACAGTTCATCAGGTTTTGCCGTTGAAGAGGAACAAACCCTGTGGTGAGAGGAATGTTCCGGAAGAGGGCATCACAGTACGCTATAGATGGAGACTGGATAGCCGCCTTAAAGTGTCCATTATGTAGTCCATGAGGTTCGGATCCTTTATTCTCAGGGTCCCTCCCTTGACCAAAAAATAATAATAACTGAGACATTAATCGTTAATATGCTACTCTATGGGCATTCGATTGCCGGTGAAATATTTGGCTGTAAAGGTCAAGTACTGTGAAGCGGTGAGTCAACAACAAGTTTGAACCATATGAGGCATCTGTATTTTGAACAGAAGTTGCTCAAGTCTCCCAAAGGGGTAAAGACTTCTCCCGCAACGTGGCGGGGTGAATTTGGGGCATGTAAGGTCCCGCAAAAAGTTGGTCAGAGTCCAGGGGAGAAAATAGTCCGCAGACTGCGGCGTTGTGCTTTCATGGAGCGACGGAAATCTCTGCGTTCCTGACAAAGCAACTTAAGCCACTCTTCCTTGTCTACCAATAACTTCCGAAGGACTCGGCAACGGCATGTTAGCATTAGTTGAATTTCCTTAGGCAAGTCATCGGGACCCATATCAAACTGTGAGTGAATCCCCTCATTGACAGCACTGTGGCATTCACGTAATTGAACGTTATCATCCGAATGTTGAACGGAGTTCCATTGCTCCCACATGTAGAAGCCGATGGAGATCAGCTGTTGTGAGAGGCGGGACGCCCAAAGAGGGACAGATCGTCGACATCTTATCTTGTCATAATGTTGTTGTTGGAGTGGAAGCCAAGACGAGGCGATGCGTCCCTCCAAAAGGCCTTGAGACCCAATCACCTTCTGAGCCAAGAAGGCCGGCCAAACCGAAGAGGAGATGGTCCTTAGAGCAAATGAAGGAGGTGTGCAAACGCCCTGAAGAAGCTGTAGGATCGCTAATTTGATGGAAGGGCCCGTCAGTTGCAGGTCTAGCCACGCGGAGAAGGCTGCGGTGCAACGATCCCATTCAGCTGTTGCCGAAGCAGCGCGGCAGCGTGGAACATGCAGATGATCCTCAAAGTCGCCGCAGCGTGGGCAAGCTGCTGATGTCTCCAGACCCCATAGAACTTTAAATTTGCCTGTGCCGCACATGCCCACACAATGTTTAGTAGACCACCTTTGTAGTCCTGCAGGAAGAGATCGCATGGCGCGACCCAATGTGTCCCATGCAATCTCGGACTCGGCTTCAGCGGAGATAGTGCCTTTGTCCCTCCAGCGGGAGCGTAGGGCCGGAAGAGTCACACACTCTTGGATGAACTGGGGATCAAGGCGTGACTGTTTGGTGTCTGCCACGTACATTGCCGCAAGTTCAGTGAAAAAAACGAGGGTTGGGGGCTATAAGATGATTGGCCGTCTCAAGTTCCTTACGGTACTCCACCGCCATTCCATCCACTTCAAGGTTCCGTTTCTCCCACCAAGAAAGTTCGTCAAAGAGATTGGACTTGTCTAGGTGTCCATACACGTGTTGGGGCGCCCAATCTACCGAGAACCGAAGGATAGCTTCCCAAATGGACGATACCAGGTCAAACTGGGCATCGGTGGAGACAGTGGACGATCTTCAAAAGCCATCTCAATAGCAGAGAGGCCATCGCAAGCAATCCGCACCTTGGGGCCAATCAAAATGTTGGGGAACCATTGCTCAAGGAGCCAATCAACCACCATTATACCGGCCAACAGACCAATGAGCTCGCTGCGGTATGGACTCTGGTCCTGGGGCAAACCGGGAGTCTGACACCGGATGATGATTCGATGGCATCCTCCATGCTTCACCAGGATTTGAACCGCCGCGGTCCCCAACTCGTTCTTGAAGGATCCATCGCTGATCACACGCAGGCGACCGTCCAACAGAGCATCAGCTAAGGTGGCTTCGTCACCGTGGACCTCGATCTCATCGGGGACCCACCCGTAATAGTCCGTGCAGAGCTCGGCAGCCGTCTACCACGCGTGAAGGATGGATGGGCTGGAGGAAGAAGACGGTTCAGAGGCACGGCCAGTACCGGTGAGAAGAACCCTGTCAGACCCAGTGATGAAGCGAACCGTAGCACGAAGAACGTCAGAAGGAAGCGGTGCAGTCCACCATGGGCAGGAAGGATGGGACGGCCCTGGTGCGTAGCGACGTGATGTGGTGTGGGAGCCCTCAGAGCAAAAGTGTTTCCAGGTTGCCCCATGGCGGTGAAAAGGCCTGTGGTGGGTGACAGTAACCAATTCCAGTCCTCCAGACGGTCAGTCCATGGTCCCAAGGGTTGTTGTAGTGGGTGATGTGGCCTGTTGGAGGCAAGCAGGGCTCTGGACAAGGTGGTCTGCCACAGGTCCCAGTGTTGCCTTGTTGTGCAAACTGTCCTTGGCCATTGGTATGGCGAGCGGCAGCACTCATCCCTGAGCCCATTTCACGCGGAGCGACGAATAAACCTGCCATCAGCAGTCACAATATCAGACACTGTGCATACCTGGAGGAACATTTGACACCAATTGAGCCATAAAAGTTCCTCCTGTTCAACCTCCAAGTTGATGAAGAGATCTATCAGAAGGGAGTCGTCTGTACAGCGAAGGGAGAGGGCTGGAGAGTCGTACGCAAGAAAGATGTCCAAGCCTTTGAGCTCATGCCAGACTCGTTTCATCCACGTGTCTGAAGCAAGGATCGCCGTGTTGGTGTAGACCTGTTGCAAAAGTCCAAAGGACGTCCCCGTTTCAAGTTGATGGGCTTGGATGTTGGCCTCCATATAGTCACCGGTTTTGGTCCTGTTGGCCATATGTCGGAGCAACATCTCAAGATGCTTAAACACTTGACAACCAAACGGATGTGGAAGTCCAAGACCCTGATAGGACAGCGGAGCAAATACGATATCCTGAGGGAAATTACGACAGACACCTGCCTTTGGAAGGCACACTTGAAGTACCGGAGACATAATGTCTGTCCATTGCTGGGCATCCAGGGTTGTTAGCGCCATCGGATACTCCAATTTCTTCATGATGGTCGACTTGATGAGGGGGAGGACATCATATTTGTGGAGCAGATTGGGTGGAAGCTGTTCTGCCCAATCCGTGGCTTTAGCAACCATCTGAGCCTTGTGGGCCTCAAGGTTTTCCAAGGGAGCAAGCATAACTCTCAAAGTGCGTTCCGAGTCATCTGGTTCAAGGCGACGCAAGGATTCAGTAGCACCCAAAAGACCTTGAATTTGGAGTTCAAAGTCGGGAGCGACAGCTTTTTCCCCACGGAATTTCCATTTGCCTGTGCGGGAGTCCCACTCAAAATCAATGAGCCACCAAAAGGACTTCTTGGGGTTGATCGCACCTCCAGTGGCTCGGAATCCCCCAGCCTACAGAGTGGCGGCATCCTGCACCGATGCACATATGGCTTCACCCGAGTGATGGACTGTATTGCCAGCCTCAATGACGTTGGTGTCATCGACAAAGCAGAAGCATTGGGCTGTGACCAACTGTGACTCTAGTGCTGAGAGGCACTCAAAGCCGTAACCCACCGCTTCCATCATGGCAATGAGAACGGAGCTCACGGAGATCCATATAGGGGGTCCAGCCCCATTACCTTGACCACAGCCTTGGAAGGGGATAACAGAAGGCGGCTTGAAAGTACGTTCTGAATCGCCAAAGCCTGTCCGCACCCAATGCGTCGGTGATGACAGCATGTTAAACATGGAGGATAGGACCCTCTATGTCAGCCCAAACCGGAGCATCGCAATGATTGCCACCCAATGAACAATACGATCAAAGCAGGATTTGGTATCATTAGAGATCCACCCAGCCGCGCGTCGTTGGAGAATCAACAAGTCCCAGACCAGACGTTTGGATAGGGCCAGATCAATGGCCTGGTGACGCTTCCGAGAACCGCACTGTCCGTCCGGAATCAAGGAGTGTTCCTCGGCATATTGCATGGCCGCTCGACCCGCTTTTTTGTTGTTCGCCTGTGCCTCCGAATTCATTAACTGAATAGTACGCATTTTTGACAGCCGGAAGTCGCCTGCCTTTTTCTCAATTGCAAAATTCATCAAGTTCCGCCACTTTGAGTGGACGAATCCCGTTGCCAAAGGAATATTGCGAAAAAGGGCATCACAAGAGGCAATAACTGGTGACTGGGCCGCTGCCTTAAAGTGTCCGTTGTGCAAGCCATGAGGTTCTGAGCCTTTGTCCTCCGGATTTCAGGACAAGAAGTACACATGATCAGAGGTAGTCACCTCAAGGTGCACAGGTAAGTGATCCTTGTGAAAACGGCAATGTGAAAGAAAGGCTGTAGTGGCGGGGTCGAGATGGTCGGGCAGGGAGTAGCGGCCTTCCAATAGTGCAATGGAATTAGATTCAGCCTGATCGCCGGTGAATGCTGTGTACAAGGGTTCCGCCATAGGTGGAGTTGTATATGGAGCACGCGTCTGGTCGTACCATGCCGCGTTTTCTTGCATACAACCTTCTTCAACCAGAGCACGGTCGGTGATAGTACGCCGCTGCTGAGTGCCGTCTGGTAATTGTTCTTCAATCTGAATAGCCCGTAAACCCCCTGTAGAGCCTTTTTGTTGGGCGCAACGACGGCGTCTCGCCTCCTCTCGTTGCTTCGTTCGTTGTAACCGAAGGAATCGATCGTGGGCCTTCTGAGATTTCCATTTCTTCTTCTTTGCCTCTGTTGTCTGAACCGTAAGAAAGTCCAGTCTCAATTGGGTTGCCTGACGTTTGGCGTGCTTGTATGCCCTTCGTTCAGCTGCCAATGCCACTTCCAGTTCATCAGTTGTCTTCTTCCACGCAGTGCACAGCCTTGTCTTCTTCATCAGGCGCCGGACCTTTTGGGAGCTCACACGACATCGCTTGCGTCCTTTAAGGAGTAGCTTCCAGAGACTCAACCGATCCCAGAAGCCCTGCAATTTGGGAGACCAAGGAACCTTGCCAGAGGAGGTAGTGCGACAATTGTCTTC